GAAATGGCAAAATTTTGAGTGTATGGAAACTTAAATTGGATCATTCTATCCATTACACTAGTTTGGGGCTCTCTTAGCTTTGATAGGAGAAGGGGGGAAATCTTCTCTTTCTAGCCGCTGGCAGTCCTCTTACAATTATGATCTTAATTAGTTTTAAGTAAAATCTCATAATTTAACTCTACTTATTAGCCCTGGAAAAGGAAGGAAAGGAAGAAAAACACCAACATACCGCTACAGACTGGATGTGGTTTGTGCCTTGAGGCTCATGTCCTGGAAGCTGGGTCCTCAGTGTGGCAATGCTAAGAGGCCGTGGGATCTTTAAGAGGTGGGACCTAGTAGGAGCTGGTTAGGGTCATCTGAGGCTCTGCCCCTAAAAGGAATTGATATCGTTCTCATGGGACCTTAGTTACTTCTCTGGAGTGTTATGAAAAGAAGAACAAGGCTGGTGCCCCTTCTCTCTCTGGCTTCCTGTCTTGTGTGATCTCTCTCTCACATGCTGCCACCATGATGCTATCTGCCATGAGGCTCTTACCAACTATAGAATGTTGCTTGAAAATGTGGTCTCTAAAACTGTGAGCTAAATAAAATACTCAGCCTCCAGTATTTTGTTATAGTAATGGAAAACAGGAATATATGCACATGCATGCACATGCACGCACACACACACACAATGTATGTTCCATTAACAGAGAACTCAGTAACCTACGTGATAACAGATAACAAGTTCCATTTCTGAGGTTCTGTAAAGCTGCTTGCTCAAGTTCATTCTTAAAGAAGTCAAGTGGATTTTTTTATATTAATCAGAAGTAAATTCCAAAACAGAGATATCCTATCCAATGCAGTTCACCTAGTTGTACTGCTTTACAGACATTGAGAAAATAATTAAGCCGATTATACTAATTAAATTCTACCAACTGTGAATTTGTGATAACCTAAAAATAAATTATATATTGTTTATTCCACAAAAATATCTTCCTAGTTTCATGTTCTGCCAATTCACTGTTGGGTGAAGAATAGTTTGTTTTTGATACTTCATTCAATAGACCCTTGGGAATTACAAAGCATGATTTTCAATAATTATCACACTTTAATTGTTAGCATCCATTAAAGTAATAACACTTGGAAACTATATATTGAAAAAAGTCACTAATTTTAGATGTTTTTATAGTTTAACAAAATCCTTCTCAGTACAAACCTATTTCTGAAATAAGAAGTTTCACTGATAGGAATATTTCTGTGCCTAATTTCATTTGCAATTAGAGGACTCTTACCTACTCAATTTTTAAATGCTTTCTTGAAACCAAAGGATTTAAGACTATACATGACTTGCAGATTTTCAAAAATTATCTGAGCATGAGCAGCAGCAGCATCAAATGGCTCACTTTAAGGTTCTTCCTCAAAACAACCTTAATTTGATAATTGACATGCATTTGAACATCTGCACATTGAAAACTTCCCATAAGTATAATCATTGTTTAAAAATTTTTCATTTGGTCCCCATTAGCCTTAAAGCCATATCAGTTTGTGCAGAATTGAAAGTTTACTTACCAATCAGGCTAGAATAATGTGGAAACTTCTACCTTTGTAATCATTGAAGAACTAATGTTTCTAGCAAATATATCATTATAACTTTTTTCACATTAGCAACTGGTTCAGTTTCCACTTACCCCTTCTATCAATAAGTTATGTGAACTATAAACAGATAGCTAAATAAACAGTCCAATCACATTATAAAACTCTCTTCAGGAACATCTAATAGAGTCAAGAAAAATACTCATCTTTAGTGATGCTGCCTAAAGGGCCACCTCAGATCTTCTGCAAAATGAGGCAAGGTGGACATACATAAATAAATACAAACAGAATTATTACTAGAGCAGTGTCTGTTTCATACAGGTAGCAAGAAAGAGTGGATCCAGGAGCTCAGCCCCTCACGTGAATTCTCAACCCACTGTTCTCTGTGTTAACCATGACTAAATTCTCAAACTCCCTACACTTTCATTTTCTTTTCAGTAAAATGCAACTGTAAGAGTAACTACGTCTCTGTAGTTTTATGAGGGTTAAGTGAGATTATCCATGTAAAAGGATTCAGAACAGCCCCTGTCTGTAGCAAACACTCCATAAAGGTTAGTCCTCGTTATCATCATGGCCCTACAAATATATGCGTGTGTGTATGTGCGGTACACAGGGATATCAGGAAAGCAGCTGAATTAACCTCAGCTCTTCCAGACACTAACCAGACAATGGGCTGTCAACTAGTGAACCCCTACATTCAAACCATGGGGCTCAGCTTCTTTCATTAGACCTTAAGCTGCTTCTCACTGCCAGCATATAGCTCATCCTGCACAACCCAAAGAACAATCTGGTTACTCACACTATATCACATTAATATGTAAATTCATCACTTCAGCAAGAAATCACAAACAAGCAGTTCATTCATGACTCATTTTATTCATAACAGTCTCAAACTTGCCACCCAAAAATCAGTTTTTGCAGCTACAGTGAAATAAACACATTCACATCCAAATTCATTCCATTGTATCCAAAAAATTAGTATAAGAAAACAGGGGAAAAGATATGGTTAGTCCACTAAATGTGAATTGTTGGATATTGAGAAGATACATCATTATTTTGAAGAAAACAAGCCGAAATCTTGAGCAAAACAAGATTTGTACAAGGGATGACCCTGGATTATGACTATTTAATAACTATACATTTGGTCAGGATCTTAAAATGAGAAGTTACATCTAAAAAAGAGAAGTTGTATTTTTAAAGATAAGGACCTTATATTAATTGCAAAATTCCTGAATAATAAAAAAAAATTAATGGTTACAACGGAATCTGAATACTATTCTGTCTAGGCTGAATTTCTTATTGAAATGGAGAACTTCATTTTCCCTAAGGTTGGGTTATAATTAGAAACTAGATTCCTCAATAATTCAATGACCGAAATCTTTATTAAAGTCAAATGACCTTTCTAATTAAGTTTTCTTTTTAGTCTATAAGCTCTGTTAGGCAGGTGCCACCTCTACATACAATAAAGATTTTATGTATTTGTTAAATGAGCTTTTTCCTCTGCATTCAACCTTTTATTTTTATCACTATATCAGTAATTATTGGTAAAATTAAAAATACAACAAATTACTATTGCATTCTGATAAGTGCTCTGATTTGTTAAATATTTATGATGTCCCTATTTTTCATTTTATCATGAAAAATACTTTAAACTGAGATATTTCACTCTTCTGTATCTTTAAATTCTTGTTATAAAAGAATACAGCTAGTGTGGGGAAATGTGCACAATTTTATCATGGCATTAAGACATTGGGATCTGCAAACCTAGACAGTAGAATTGAGATATGTGCATAAAATTTAAAGTTCAAAAGCTCTGGCCACAAACAATGCACTTATAATACATGCTCATCCTAGTAAATATATGAAAGATGCATATAAATGTGGTAATTGAATTTGACATAATTTTAGTCTTTAAAGTATTTGTTCAAGAAACAAGTGTAATTGAACAACTCCATCGCTTCACCAAAAACCTAAAATGACGTAGGCAATAATGCTTTAACACTTCTCTCATTAATCAAAATAAATTCTAAAATCGTGGCAAAGTGATTAGGTTGATACACAAGGATAGCAGCCAATTGTCAGCAAATTTACTTTTCTGTTGGGTTTCTTATCTTTCTAGTTCACATAAAAAGAAAAAAAAATGAAGAGCATCATCTGAGAGAGGGAGCATCACCTGAGAGAAAAGAACGTGCACTTCATGAATACTAACACCCCAAAGGAGATGTGGTAATAACTAACTCTTCATTTTACACATCATCAAGCACTAACAAAAAATTAATAAATAAACATCGATCAACAGGAACCTTCTGAGTTGCAAGTCACTCATGAGCCAAATAAGCAGAATAAAGTCCAACCTCTGGATTGTCCCTCTCCAGCCCACTCTTTTGTGTTACATACATTGCTACCTGATTACTACTAGAAAACAGATTTCAGCTCTCCCAAGGACCCCAATGGGCTTTTCTAAGCAAATGTCTGCACTCCTCAGGCCAGGCCATTAAGGTAACTCAATCCCTCATGAATTGCTCAGCGGAAGAAATATTGATTCTGGATTCAAAAAATATTTCGCTTTTTCTGTATTAAGAGTCACGAGAAGCATAACAATTAGGATTCTGAATGTTATCCTGAAGACTAGCAGGACAAATAAGAGCTTAAGGAACGAACGACGATGCTGGGGGAGGGGGCACAGAGAGTGCGAGAAAGATGCTGGTCAGTTCTGAGATGATGCAGGCATGACATGGCACCTGGACAGCACGAGTTGTTGTTGCCTCCGCCCCCAGCAGAGTCTCAGCCTGGAGCCCTGAATAGGTGCACACGCAAGCACACCACCTTTTATTCTTTGACTCCCAGGGAGGGGAATGGTGGGGAAGCGTCTGTCTCGGATAAAGATTCAACCCAGGGAAGGATTTCTTTCTCCTCGCACCCCGCCTTCCCAGCTAGGGACAGGCGACGTTCTCTCGAACTGTGGACAGCCCAGAGGACAGGAGAACCAGGGGGAGAGCCAAAGCATCTCGGGGTGGGAGGCTTCTGAAGCCTCAGAGCGCTTCCGAGAGGGTGGCAGGGAGAGGAGGAGGACGCGGAGCCCGGGAAGCGCCGGGAGCACTCTGCATCCAGGCTGCGCCCGGGGCTGGCGCGGCACAGCAGGGGGAGTCGATCCAGGGGCGGACCCCCGCCCGACTCCCAACGCGAGGATGGGGAGGAAACAGCTTTGTGTGGCAGGATGAAAGGCAGACGGGACCACCACGCAGGGGGCGGGGACGGAGGATGCCCGGAGCCAGGGAACCCCACCCGCCCCACCGACAGCAAGGTTCTGTCCCCTATTCCGCCACAGCCCCTGGTCCACCCTCCGGCTCCCGCTGCCCGTCGGTGTTCCCACCGCCTCGAGCGGGGTCGCCCCGGCCGTGCCCCCACCCAGCGCCCTGCGCACTCACCTGCCCACGAAGTTCTCGAGCACCGAGCTCTTGCCTGCGCTCTGGCCGCCCACCACGGCGATCTGCGGCAGCTCCAGCAGGCAGCTCTGTCCCAGCGCCGAGAAGGCGTCCTGCAGTCGGTTCACCAGCGGGATCAGCTCCTCCATCTCTCGGTTCCCCATCTTGCTGGCGCGCCCAGCTGCCCACTGGTCCCGGCTTGCCTCTGCGACCTGGCCTGGAGCCGAGGCACAGCGCCCTCGCCGATGTTGCTGCGCTGGGATCGGACGGCGGATGCTGGCGCAGACGCGGGGTCCCGTTGCCCGGCCGGTTCCTGACAGCTAACGGCCCCGCAGCGCGCCTGCGCAGGCGAAAGGGGCGTGGCCCGACTCGGAAACGGCCCCGCCCCGCCCCTCTGCGCTCCGCTCAGTGCTCCCAGTGCGCGCCACCACTGCCGCCCAGCTGCGGCCAGATGCCACCACCGCTGCCCCCCGCAGCCACGGCCGAGAGGCGAACTTTCAGCACTGGTCGGGAATGGCCCGAAATCCTCAGCCGGCAGCTCAGTTCCTTTTCAAGCAGCTATCGTGACAAAGCCCCGTGGAAGGGCACAACATCCAGCATCGTCACCAGCGGCAGCCCATCCCCCGCCCGCTGCCACGGGAATACAGTTCCCCGGGGAAAATCTCAAGGGTCACGCCCAGCTCCAGAAACCGCGATGGCTCCTGGGCATAGCTGGCCTGGTGCAGGCCAGAGTCTTCAGTCTGACCCCACTTGAAGCCCTGAGTAGTCTGACCTTACCCCACTATTCATTTTTACTGACGTGTCCTCCCCATCCTCATGGAAGCAAAGGTGGGGTTCCTTGGGTATTCCCTTCCCCAATGCTGCTATCTACCACATTCATTCTGGCCTTGGAGATTCCTATGCGATTTGTCCTCCCAGTGCATTTCCTGGGTAGGATAAGGAGACAGATTATGGAGTCTATCAATGACCATGTACTCCGCACCCCTTCTGTTAAATTTGGCACATCCGAGAAATGACCATGTGTTAAGTCCTGTCCCTAGTAACTGAGACACAAAGATAAATGGCAAGTTCCTCTTCCACTATGGATACCCCTCAGGATTTAGTATACTAGCGTTTTCTTGCCTCGCCCTTCATGTTCTGCCTGAAGACTTTCCCATGACTTCAACTCAATGTAAAGGTTAGAGATTAAAGAAATCTAAATTGCTAGAGGATGACCCTTTCCTGCACTGTAGACCGTATTCCATCTGGATCCCAGACCTCGCTACAAGAATCTCAGGCTCAGCTTATTCAAAACCGAACTTGCCTTTTCTAATCTCAGCATTTAATGCTGTAAATTACTCTCTAACCTGCAAAAGACTTGTTTGAAGAGGTCAATAATTTCTCAAACAGCAAATAACCCACATGTCCATCAACAGGTGAACAAATATAATCAAATGTGATACATACAGTGTTCACAGCACACACACACAAAATGGACTTTACATAAAGCAGCACCATGGTTGAAGCAGATACATTGTATAGAATGAAAAAGGCAGACAAAGAGTACCTGTTGTTTAATTCCATCTATATGAAATTTTACAACAGGCGAAACTGTAAAAATCAGAACTGTGGTTGCCTTTGAAGAGTGAAGACTATCGGAGTCATGAGGAAACTTTCTGGAATAAGAGAACTGTTCTAGATCTTGATTGGGGTGTGGGTATTTTTGTGCCAAAACATGGAACCATTTAAACTCTGAACTTCACTGTAAATTATATGCACCATACAGTTTTTGAAAGGCATGAGATGAAGACGAACAAAACCAAAAGCATCATCTTTACTGAGACGGGACATCGACCCACTACTCCTTTTCTACGAGTCACTCCTCAATCCACCATGTGGCTGCAGCCAAGTGGTCATGAAAGTAGAGATGGGCAACTGACAAGCTGCAGCCATCCAAGCCCTTTCCTGGGAATGTGGAATTGAGAGAATTGGTCTTTGAGTGGACTGCAGATGAGGAATAAAATCTGCAACTACGATTAGTAATATTTTCACCAAAATAAAGGAGATGCAGAAGATACTGGTCTTCAGTGAAAAAGTAAAGGAACACAAAGAGAGGAGCAGAGAGAAGTCTTGATGGTACTTGTATCACTGTTCAAGTTCATTTCTGATCCCATCTACAATCCTGTCCTGAGTACCATGAATCAGAACTTCCCCCTAAACTTACAGATTCCCCTTTGCCTAACCTAATTCTGATTTTTCACTTGCTACCAAAGAATCCTAGTAAGCACATCTTCCAGTGCACTCCCCATCCCAGCAAAAGAACTGCTCGATTCCAAACCAGAATCTGGAAATTATCCTAATTGCTCCCTCATCCCCTGTATGCTAAGTTGGTCCCCAAATCAGGCCTGATCTACCTTCTGGAACCCATCTCCTTCCTTCCATCCTTAGTTATATAGTGCCAATGCCTCAGTTAGAAAACTGACATTTGTCATTTTCCTCTATGCTTTCCACATACATGTACCCTGAATAGATTTTCATTATTGCACTTGACACATTGTGTCCTCCACTAACAAGCAAAACAATGATCACCCTGAAATGTCCATATTTTAAGTCTTAGAACCTGTGTTACCGGAGTGATACATGGGACTCAACCACATCTATGAAGTTAAGGACCATGGAATGGGAAGGTTTTTCTAGATTATCCTACAGGCCCAGTCTAACCACATGGATCCTTTAGAGCAGAGAACTTTTCTGAGCCGTGGCAAAGGAGGAGCAACCATGGAAAGGTGGTCATGGAGGTGCAACCCTGCAGGCTTTGATGGGAGGAAATCTCAAGGCATCGCAAGCCAAGGATTGTGGGCATCCTCCATCACCTGGAGAATGCAAGGGAAGATGTGTTCCCCAGACCCTCCAAAAGAGCTTGACCTATTGACATCGATTTTGGTCCAGTGAGACTGTGTCAGACTGCTAACACAGAATACAACAGGGAAGCACATCTGCATTGTTCTTAAACACTCCATCTGTGGTGATTGAGGGTGGGATCCATCTTTGCAATTTTCAATACTTAGCCCAGGGCTCAGCACCTTAGGAGACTCATTGTCTCCTGGAAACTGACTCAAACAGACTATTACAACACAATGTGTTCCAGGGTGCAATCGACTGAATTGTGTCTCTCCAAAAGCACTTCACAGATTGAAGTGCTGACTCCCAATGGGGCTATATTTGGAGTAAGAAAGTAATTAAGGTTCAATGGAGTCATAAGCCAGAAAGAGAGTCCTCACTAGGAACCAAATCAGGGGGAGCCTTGATCCTAAACATCCTAGCCTCCAGAACTGTGAGAAATGAATGTTCTTTAAACCACCCAGTGTATGGTATTTTGTTATAGCAGCCCAAACTAAGATGCAGGACTTGTTATAAGGAACACCACATGGACATCCAGGTTAAAAATTCTGTCTGGAGAGGGTCACAGAAGAGATGGAGCTTAATGAATGGGTCCTGTTCTTAGCTACCTACTCTGGGGGATGCAAAAGCTGAGAGACTAGCCCTTGCCTAGGTATTTTGCATCCTAATATAGAAGACAGTGCTACTGCGCATTAGGCAGAAAACCTAACCATTAAAGTTCACAGTCACTGAAGCAATGCACGCCACCTCTGGTCTCCAGAACCTAATCAATCCCCTCCTCTTGTTTCTCGAAGCCATTCTGAACTACTCCTGCCAATTGCTTTCCTTCTTGACTTCCCATTTCCAGAATCAGTCCTGCAGCAACACACAACCCAGAGAAACCTTCAACCTGACGTCCTCAGGGATCATCGATTGATCCAGATGAACAGAAAAGGACAATCCGAAGGAAAATTCTAATGGGAAGACCAACTTCATCTTTGAGGATGTGTATAACAGAGGGTGTGTGCCTACATTCTTCATCTGTTGCCGTAAGGCAGCCAAGTAACTCTGGAAGAACCTCTCCAGTCTCCTAATTCAATCACCTCTGTCCATTTGAGCTGTGACAGATGGAAACCCACCGGTAATCTCAGCAAAGCTAGATTGACACACATGGAAGGCAGAAAACAGTGTAGGCAAGCTTAAGGTGCGGAGGAAAGAGGGCCAGGAAGAACCCTCCATCACTCATGTCTGGTTTAGCAGCGGATTTGTGCTTCCTGCCATCAAATAGGTAGAGCTGTGTTCTGCTCTGAGCATCATCCATACACACCGAAGGAAATCAGGAAGCACGTAGTCCCTTTCAGAGGGAAGGTTCCCTAGTGCTTTCTAAATCTCCTTTGTTAAATTATTAAACTACATATGCACACAAATATATAAAACACATCTCTACGTATGATACCTTTATATTAGGTAAATAAATGCCCATTTAAAATTATGTTTATGAAATTCTCAATGACAGAGAAATGCCATGAATAAAATATTTTAAAAGATACATTTTCCATATAGTATCTTTATGTAAAAAAATGTTCAGAAAAAAAATGGAAGTCAATGTACAAAAAAATTAATGTTTCCCATGAGGTAATATGGAGTTTTATTATTTTTCCTTTTATTCCTCAAACATTCTACAGGAAGCATGTGTTACTTTTATAATTTGCAAAACTGAATAAATGCCATTTGATTGAACTGTGATCCATTTACATACCAGCTTATCAACAACAAAGTGCAAATAACTTTGGGATAGGAACAGAGGGTCTACAGGGTCCCCTGCCCACAAGCCTTAGCCAGTCACTAGCGGCTGATAACTGCCTAAAAATAATCAAGATTTTTAAATGAGAAACATTTCTTTCTGACTCAAAGAGCAGAAATGCCACATGCCTAAGCCACCATGGTCACATGGACAATTGTTAGCCAAGAGTCCATTCAGCATGCTAAACTGCAGACTAGGCACAAACAGTTCGTACAGAGAGTGGGCTCGGGAGCTGAATTTTGTTTAAGCATATGTCATAACCTATAACACCAATAAGCCAGACACAAATAGGTTCCTATAACTTACAATCTTTTATGACATTCTAGAAAAAGCAGAACTGGTTTATAATAACAGAAAGCAGTCTGGGGCCAAGAGTAGGGACAGGGGATGGACGGCAGAGGGACATGGGAAGCTATATCACAACAGTGGTGGTGGTAGTGGCATGGTTGAACACGTTTGTCCAAACTCATGGAACTGTACACTTTAAATGGAACATTTGTTCTGTATAGATTATGCTTTAAAATAAATATGACACTCCTATGTCACATAAATGGTAATACAGAGTGTTACAGTCTCAGGGTAGGGACAAACTCGGTCACAGGAGCCATGATGATCCTGTGTTTTGAGAGTCCAAAATTAAAAAACACCTATCCTCCAAG